GTAGATGTTTTTCTGAGCTTCTTATAGAAAAGAATTTTTTTTAAAAGCAGCATAATGTTTAGAATGTTTAGAATGTTTAGAATGTTTATTATAATTTATAGGCCGCCCTTTTCCCTGAGGGGACTCAGGGCGGCTTATAAAACACGGGGAAGGGNGGAGTTGAAGTCTGGACATCTTCAAGTTGCCAAGGTTGAGAAATACTGATATATACATATTAAATGCTAAAGTCAGGAGATGCCAAAGGCAAATTTACCTGTCCTGAATATTATGAGATATTTTTACACAGAAATGTGGTATGTTACAACTTTTCATTTTTGGTTGGACAGATATCAATTCAAGTAACTAAAAATAAAGGAACAGAAAATACTTTCGATTGATGTGCTTCTTTTGCATGGCCAGAGAAGCAGAAGTGTAAACAAATTGTTTATCTTATGTAGCAGTAGAATTCTAATAACTAGTTTGAGTGTTTACCTGATACATTATTTCAGGAATCACACATTTTTTACTTTAAAAAAATCATTATTGTATTGCTACCACTTAGTAGTAATCCTCATTGAAAGGTTTACATAACTATCCTTTATACCAAATCCTAGTGTAATGGGGAAAATTAATCTAGGGTCAATATGTGAAATGATTACTCCTTGAGTACGGATATTGAAGGTACTCTTAATATCCTTGATGCATAATGATGCATAAAATATTTTTTTAAAAATAATATTGATACATCTCAGTAAACCTATCTTTATTCAGGTAGTCCTTGAATTACGGGAAATTCTTGTATGACTGTAATGGAACACAGAATTTCCGTTGTAAGTTATGATGGTTCCAACTCGGGAAACCTACATGACCAATCTGATTTTACAAACATTTTTGTGCCAGTTGTTAAGTGAACACTGCAGTGGTTAGTTCAATACATTTCTTTCAGTGTTTTTATCAGAAACTAGTCAAAAAAAGCCTGTTTCTGGCAAAAAAAACATAGTGTCATGTAACCACAGAACCACAAATGTAGCCTTAAAGGTGACCTGGTTACCAAGTAACCAAAACGCAGTGATGTGACTGGAAGGGAAAGTGCCACTGTTAGAATTTTGGAACAAGGTCATAAATATCTTTTGGGAGAGTCCGTTGTAACTTCGAATGGTCTCTAAGCAACAACTACTTATACAATTATTTGTTTAGTGAGCATTCAAAATTAGAATGGCACTGAAAACAGTGACTTACACCCAGCCCTTGCACTTATGACCATCACTGCAGCCCCACGGTCATGTGATCAGAATTTTGACACTTAACCAGCATATATTTCCAATGGTTGCATTATCCTGGGATCATGTGATTGCCATTTGCGACCTTCCCATCTGGCATCTGACAGGTAAAATCAATGAGGGAAGCCAGATTCACTTAATGACTGTATAATTCACTTAGCTGCAGTTGCTTAATAACTCTGGCAGAAAAGGTCATAATACCACAGATGACTCACTAAGCCTTGCTTACCAACATAAATTCTGCTATGAATTGTGGTTGTAAATCAAGGACTACCTGCAGCAGCATTGGAAGTTAGATTAGTTTTATTGCCACTGCAGTACAATGGATAAGCTGAAAGATGGTGAGTTTATAATGCTGTGTAATACAATATTAGATTTGAATTTAAAATGTTTTGTATAAATACCCTTTATGGCATGGCTGGTTTCTTCCCCTATCCTATTTCAATGCTGCTACTTTCAAAATTGCAATTACGGTTTACAGAATGCGGAAACTCTAACATGAACTTTCGTTTAGAATTTATTTCAATTGCATGAAATGCATGAAGGAATATTTAGAAGCCTGGATAAGTGCTTATGTTACAAGTAGTCCTTGTTGCAACAATGCTAACCATGTGATTGTTGCTTAGCTATTGCAGTTCCGGAATTCCAGATTACTGTTGTTAAGAGAGGTTACAGGTTGTTAAGTGAGAACTTCACAGGACTTTATCTTCTGACTTCTTGCCAGCTTCCTCATTGACTTCGCTTGTGGGAAGTCAGCAGGGAAGGCTGCAAATTGCAGTCACATGACCATGGGTCTGTAAGTATAAAGTCTGGTCATAAATACCTCTCACTCAGCACCACTTCAAGTTCAAATACTGAATGAATGGTCATTAAATGAAGATACCTGCTCATGTTCTTTGAAAGAAGCAGTACATTGAATTAACTCAAGGAAATCTTACAAGCACACCGGATTGGCAGTGCAGCAGTCATGGGTGACAAGATTCCCAGATGCATAGAACCTCAAACATTCGTAAAAGTTGAATTGTTCAAAATGTTATAAAATATTAATTTTCTCATGTAATATCTTGCAAACTTTGACATTTTTATTTAAATTTCTCATGGGACAAACTTCAGATATTTTTAGCGTTGTTTTTTTTTTTTACAGTTTTAAAGCTACTTTTATTAGATCAGCCACAGTAACAAAACCTAGCAGATCTGAATGTGCTTTCTTTCTCTGTCTTTTATCGCCTTGTGAATTAAGCAGGGAGGTTCTCTGAGGTCTTTTCATAAACCACTTTGCTGGTCTGGCTCAAGCCTCATTTATCTTATTGTTGTCTTGGTAGCATATCTTCAAGGCCATTTTCTATGCTCACTATAGTTGGTCAGATTACCAGGGAATCACAGGATTATAAAATTGACTGGAAAGTTTTTTAAAAAAATAATAAAAAGGCAACAGCAATCCTTTTCCATGCTATTTCCCAGAAATGTGCCTGATTGTTACTGTTTAATCAACAGCAATTATGAGCAACTTTATATTTATAAATATAAATGGGCAGCATAGAGTTGAAAACTTCTCTAATTATAAAAGCAATAGAATACAATAAACATTAGCTTTTTGATATCATCCAGGCTGATAAAGTAGTTTATCTATCTATCTATCTATCTATCTATCTATCTATCTATCTATCTATCTATCTATCTATCTATCTATCTATCTATCTATCTATCTATCTANGCAATATCCTTCCCCTGCCACACCCACCAAGCCATGCCCACGGAACCGGTAGTAAAAAAAAAATTGAATTTCACCTCTGCCATGGATCCAGTTACTCACAAGCATGTCTATAATGTGAATACATTTAAAAAAATGCAAATCCAAATACAGGAACCAAGTGTCATCTGAAAGTCAAGAGTATAGCAACCAAATTCTATTTTCAGAAATGAAATCCACCATGAAAGCAATCAAGGCAATTGTCTTAAAAGAACGTGACTCTGAGCAATTAAACAAAGCATTCATAGACCCTGACCGAAGAAAATCCATTTGCTTTGATCCTCTCAAACGGTGATAGCATAATTGATATTTAGCACCCCTGGCATTTTAAAAGAAGGAAACAAGTAGTATATGAAAACATATATTTTATGTCATGTAAGAAAGTTGATGTGATGGGATAAACTATTCATGTGTGCATGCGTATAACACATATACAGACAAACAAAGCACTATTAATTTTTATAAACACTTATCAACTCTTATAGCTAGTAATAAAAGGCAATCTTCCTTCATATATCATATAAATTATTTACCTGCTTCAATAGTCTATATCTTATACAACTATACAGTTTCGAACTTACTCCAGAAATGGTAAGTATGTTTTTTGGCTAAACAGATTTTCATCATGATCAATTGTACATATTCTTAACTCCAGGGGCAGGTTCTGGCTGCTGCTATTGCCAGTTCGCTCGGGGAGGTGTGATACGCACATGCATAGTACTTAAAAGAACTGCTTCTATGCATGTGCAGAAGCAAAAAACAAGATGGTGGCATTTAAGATAGAACTGGTTTGGGGTCGTGGCAGGCCAAGTTACTACCTACTCGGATGAACCAGTCAGAAATGGTAGGAACCCACCTTAGCTTAACTTCTCCACTAAAAACAACGGAACTAAAAGGCCCTTCACTTTGGCTGAATTATTCTCAACCTTTTCTCAGGAGAAAAAAAGCCCTGAAGCTATGGCTGCCAAGATTCAGTGAATTATGATAAGGCAGCCAAGAGTGCTCTGTTTCTCTTTGATGCCATTTAATTGTCTAGATTTTTGCAGACCTAAAAAGGGATAGTGTCATCTCATAATAGCTTGTAATTTACTTTAGAAAGTACTTGCATTTATCATAATGTCTGCTTTCCTTTGGACTGGTGTATCTTAATACATTGTTTTCAATAATTCTTTTCAGATAAATAATTAGCTTCCAGTTTTTCTCCATCAAGGGGAGAAAAGGTTCCCTACTGTAGCCCACTTCTGGACCTATGCTCTTAATTATGTTGCAATAATGATGTTAATTGGGAAAACCTGCAAGAAAATGGCAGCTATGCTTAATTACAGCATTACCTTTCCCATTGTTCCTGTGTTCTTTTCTAAACATTTAAGAGGGTTAATCTTAGCCTATATACTAAGAAGTAAGAACAACTGCAAAACATAGCCTATGTATCGGCCTGTACTACTTAATTAAGAAGGGCAAGGTTGATTGAAGACACTGAAATTATTTTCCAGCTGATGATATCACAAAGTTTTTGAACAAGTTAATGGAATACATTATTCATGGTTAATGGTTTGACAGTTCTAAGAAATTTTGAAGGGGAATATTTTAGTAAGTTCTGTATGAATTTACCACTCATCATTATTTTACACTGCTGCAAGACAAATGGATAGATGAGCTAAGGTGGCGCAGTGGTTAGGGTGCAGTACTGCAAGCCACTTCAGCTGACTGTTATCTGCAGTTCAGCGGTTCTAATCTCATGGGCTAAAGGTTGACTCAGCCTTCCATCCTTCCGAGGTGGGTGAAATGAGGACCCAGACTGTGGGGGGCGATATGCTGACTCTGTAAACCGCTTAGAGAGNCCCCCCCCCCCCGCTCTTTCGGCGTGCTCCGCTCCACCATGCGAGGGTGCGCGCGCACCCTCGGAGTTGCCCAGGCAGGTGGGAGGGAGGGAGCCCCTCCAAGCCCCCCCGGGCGTGTTCTTACGGTTCGTTTTCTTACCTCTAAGGCGGCTACGCCGGCTTTGTCCTTAAGGCGGCGCCATTTGGAGCTCCCTTCGCGGAGGTAGGGTTTAAAAAGCAGGTAGGGAACAGGAAGGGCTAACGCGGGCTATGGGAAAGGCGCTGCTGCGCGCCTTTTGATCTTTCTCGGGAACGGAGAAAAGCGACCCTGTGAAGGCACCAAGCCCGCGGCTAAACTTGGAAGCCGGGGAGTCTCCTGCCGCTGCTGGTCCCTCCAACGTGGAAGTATCGCTTGCCGCACCGGCTCCTTCTTGCCTCCTGAAAAAAGACTTCGCTGGTAGCCGCCGGGCGCTCTCTTCTTGGAGCCGGGAAGGAGCCAAGCGGCACCGTCGAAAGCAGCCCCCTCGCTGACGCCGCGGTGGGCTTTGGGGCTCTGCCGCCCCAGCAGAGAGGCGTGGGAGGGAACCCTCCGACCATTCAGTGCTGGAGGAATCCCGAGAGAGCCCTTCCCATGGAGGGGGAGGAAGTGCGGCGAGCGAAGCAAGGGAACCGGGAAAGCAGCGTCCATAGGTACGCCGAGGGCACCTCTCCTCTCCGTCCGGGCTTGGGTTTCGAGGAAGGGGCGTGCGGGTCAAACTGGGATTTTGCTTGGCATGCCCGGCGTGGCCCGTCAGGTGTAACAGGAAATGAAGGAAGAAGAAGGGCTTTGGTAGGATAGCGGGCAAAAAAAGGGGGTGCGCCTGTGGTGGGGGGCGCAGTTCCTACGTTTGGGATGAATTCTCGAGCTCCTTTTCTTTCCTGGAAGGGCTGAACTTCTCTGAAGTATTTTCCTTTGTTGAGCAGCTGACCTGTCTGTCATTCCGGGTCTGCGCGCCTCGCTTATAATGGCAACAAGTTTATCTGGGAGAGCCAGGTGTAGCTGGCTTGGATATTCGGTCAACCGTGGGTGTTTGTTTGCCTGGCCGAATCCTTTTTTAAAGGATTTTATTGCTAGTGGCTGTATTTCCGCAACACACTCAACCGCAAATAGGCGACCATATTTTAATCCAGGTTTTTTGTTGTTGTCTGAATGCAAATTTCCTTTTTAAAAAAAAAAATCCTTGAATAAGCTAATACTAGCATTTTCTAGTTTATCTGAGAAGAAATAACAACAATTTATTTTACCTTCCATAGGAGAGTTAAATTTATAAAGTAGTGAAATAAGTAAGAGGTCCTTATTTTGGAAATACTTTATGTAGGCTCCAGGAAATTATCTTCCTTTTGTTGGGAGTTAGCATGAAGAGCTTTTAAAAAGCAGGATAAGATGATGAAATATTTAGGAGATGCTCTTCTCAAATCTACTGCTCACAGTTGTCCTAAATGAACATTGAGCAATTTCATTGTATTTTTTTAAGGTTTAATTGAAGGAAAGCTCTAGAAGAATATATTAAACAGTATGCAAAGATGATAGTTACTGGAGAATATGAAGAGGCTAAATGTTGTAAATTACTTAGGTTTTCTGCAAGCGGAAACACTTGTTTTTGGAATGAAACTGACAGAGGGACGGATGAGACATCAGGAATGATTAATATTTTCTTCAGAACAAAATAGTGCCCACTGTCCAGCACTTATTAATTCCTCTGTTGCACATCAAAATGCGGGAAAGGGCCTGATTTCAGACAAAGGGAGTTAGTTCTTAGTTCTCCCATTTGGGGGGCAGTCCTTCAGATTGCTAACAGGTGTTGGCATGTTGGCATGCAAGCAAACTTGAAAGGCAAAACGTGGATAGTTAAAAGTTTTCACTTTCAATTTTACTAATTTATGATTCTGTCATGCATGCATAAATTGAATACATTATTTGTAGAATGAAGATACAGAAGGAATATACAATACAAAGCAAGCAAATCAATTTGAGAAGACATAGTTTTAACTGGACTTTCTTAAACTTTCTTTGTATTCTTCTTCGAGAAATGTTCTGCGTGTTTCCCCCCCTTTTCATTCAATCCTGTCCAATTCTCAGAATTAACGTGGACAAGTCCCTGCATTTCTTGGCAAGCTTTTCCAGGTTTGCCATCACCTGCTTCCTAGAGCTGAGTGAGAATGACTGGCCCAAGATCACTCAGTTGGAACCTCCACTCTTCCATATCTAGCCTAATGGCCTTAACCACTATACCAAACTGGCTGTCTATGATATATACCAGTGTTTCTCAACCTTGGCAACTTGAACATGTCCGGACTTCGACTCCCAGAATTCCCCAGCCAGCATTCGCTGGCTGGAGAATTCTGGGAGTTGAAGTCTGGACATCTTCAAGTTGCCAAGGTTGAGAAATACTGATATATACATATNGGGGCGATATGCTGACTCTGTAAACCGCTTAGAGAGGGCTGAAAGCCCTATGAAGCGGTATATAAGTCTAACTGCTATTGCTATTGCTATAGATAACTGAGCACTCATTCCTGTTAAATTAATTGATCATGATACTTTCAATATTGCATTTTGTGTGAAGTTACAATCCCACAATTCATGCCTTGGGCTCTAGGGTGCATTATGAAAAAAATGCATAATTGTATAATCCTAAAGTCTGCACACTCCACCAAGATGGAACAAAACCGTATGCAAGTTTGCAAACTGTATTATATGGGACAAATAGGATACAATGAATCAAAGAAGTATGAAACACAACACTGCAATAAAGAATCAGGATTGTAAATATCTAACAACCACCATAGTGTTAAAACTAATCATTCATTTGACTGGGAGACTGAAATAGATCCCATAAAACAACCCCTCTCCCCCTGAGATTTCCTAGAAGTCTGCTACTCAAGCAAATGGACTACTAAGAGATTCATTGAACTGGATACTATCTACCATCTATCAGGTGCTTAAATTAAAATACCAGTCATCAACAGACAAGAACCAATCAAAATGGAAAGAGCAGGGCTCCCAAGAATGAATTGATCAATATCTTGCAGGAAACCTCCAATTAATCATCCTGAGTTCAAATCCTACATCGACTAAAAATTCTGCAACGCAATCTCTTCTGAATGGCTGCACCAAAAAAACTTAGCAAACAGTTTTTTTTTTCCCTCAGAAAACCTGATTAGCACCTTGGTAATAATGTCCCAAAGTCTGGAGTTCCCAGCTGCAAAGTACCGGTATATACAAACCAGAATATCTCTATCAGGGATGGGATCCTACCGGTGTAATAACCAGTTCGCTGCGCATGCGCGCACAGTTCAGTGAATACTTACCTTCCGGATTACTGCTTGGGAAGGAAAACAGCTGAGGTGCAGCAGTCCACTCTGCTGCGTGACTCAGCTGAGAAGATAAAGGTAGGTAAAGCGCAGGGGCAGGCAGGGCTGGCAGGTCAACTTGCTCATGGGAGCTGATCTTCGGAGCTACAAATTTCCCCGAACTGGTGCAAACTGGTCAAATCCCACCCCTGCCTCTATTTTAACATTTTTTTAAAAAAAT